CGCCCGCCCGAGCCGCACCTCCTGCTCTGCAGCAGCCCTCCTTGAGCTGGCCCACCCCTCCCGGGCCCGCAAGGTGCTCCCTGCGGCCGTGGGAGCCCACGCCTGCCCCCGCACCCTCATCTCCTGGGCCCCGCCCTGCCGTCCTGCCCTCTCCCCCGGCGCCGCCCCCGAGGCCAACCCTGCCTCCGCCCACTCGGGGCTGCTCCCAAGTCCTCTGCGGGATCCTTCCCGCCAGCACGCCAACACGCTCCAACTTCTCCCATCTAAAAAAGTGAAAACACAACAAAGAGTCCTGGTGACCCCAAGGCCTTTCTTCAGCTCCAGCCGCAGGGAACCTGGAGGAGGCATCACACCCCCCACACACACCCTCCCCCCACCGTCCCCAGAGGCTCTGTGAGGACCCCCCGCCGCCTGACCTGTGCTCACCGCTCTGGCCTCTAGGGACCCCCGAAGGCGCCCCCCATTCCACAACGCCAGGAACTCCGGCCTTGAGCTGTACGTGTCCAGTGGACAAGCCCCGCCCCCTTGCTGTGGAGCAGGGGCCCCGGCCAGGAGCCCATCAGGAGGGAGCGTAACCTGCGTCCTCAGCTTAGACAGACATGCCTGGGGCAGGACGTCTCACGCGGCCCATCGCTGGCCCACCTGGACCTCCAGGTGCCCACGGAGAACAAGCCATGGTGCTCAACCTCACGAAACTGCAAAAACACGAACTGTTCACCTGCTACAGTTCCTACCAGTGGCTGAGCCCCAGACGGTGTGGGCCAGCCCCTGGGTGGCCGTCTGCATGCAAGGTGAGCGCTGGGCACACGCTCCACCCTCTGCCCCTCCCGGTGCTGCAGTCCTGCCTTTCCAGGTCCTGAGCTCCGACTCAGCCCCAGGGTGCGCTGCTCCTCCAGGCGACCTCATGCCCGAAGTGCCGTGCTGCTGCGTCTTATTTCTAAGAGGATCCAGTGTGGGAAGAGGCCTCAGCTTCCTCTCCATCCCACTGCAGTGGGACAATCTGGGAGACAGCTGCACCAGGCCGTTCCGCCCCACCCATGGGTGGCCAAGACACCGGTGTGTACGACCCCACAAGCCCAAGTCAGGGGCCCACATGCCTGTCAGTCGGTCCCCCGGGTCCCTGCCCATCCCGGCTGTCTCATCACTGTGGTGCTTGGCCTGGAGTCTTCAGCTCAGCCTCAGCTCCTCCAGGGCCTTGGTGTCCGTCCCCATCTATAGAGTCAGCTGGTCCCCAGACACCTGCAGGGGTGGCCCCGAGTCTGCGGAGAACCATGCCGTCCACGTCTCCAGAGTTAACTTCTCTCAGCGATGTTTTTACTGCTCAGCGTAGAGGGAGTGTGCAGCCTTTGTGAGATTTATTCTGGAGGCACCCGATGGGTTTTGGTGCTCTTACACGATCGGGACTATTCTTAAATTTTTATTTTCCAATCGTTCCTCCAACAGAGAAATACAGTTGATCTGTGTTGGTATATGCAGCAGCCTTACCAAACTCATTCCTTCCTAATTGTTTACTGAAAGAGTACTCTGGCCTCTGCATGTGGACAGTCAAGCCGTCCGAGACAGGTCACAGCTGTATTTCTTCCTCTCCCAGCTTTCTACCTCTCTGTTCTGTTCACTGCCACTGTGCGAAGGGGGTGCCCGCAGGGGCCCCTCCTGCAGATTCCACTCCTTCGGTTACTACGAGTAAAAGGCACCCAGCGGCAGAGAAAGAAAGCGCCCATCTAGTCCTCCTCATTTTCATTAAATAACAGGCATGCCTCTTGTGTTTCCCCTCAACATTTTATGATGAAAGTTTCACACATTCAGAAAAGCGGGAAGAGCTGTGCGCAGGGAGCCCCACACCCTGGCTGCCTGGGTCACACAATTCGCAACTGCTCTGTTCTGCTGCACAGCTGCACAGCTATCTCCTGTTCATCTCATTTTCAGATGCATCTGGAAGCTGAAGACCTCAGTGCCCTGCCCCCTAAACACTGCAGCCTGCACATCAACTTTGAGTTGTACATAGTGCTTATTTTTCCCTTGGGAGGAGGCATTTACCTGGGAAACACACATCATTTGATGAGCTTTGGCAAATGCGTGCTCCTGTGCCACGCCGATCCCGTGAGGACAGACAGCATCACCGCCACCTCACCTCCCGAGAGGCGGAACACCACCCCACATGCTCCCTGCTCCTTGGGGTTCCCTGCACACGCATGACGCGGCTCGCTCTGGCTTCCTGCCCAGGTGTGTCCGTCACAGCACGGACACCCCTCGCCCGTCTCCAGTGTCCGTTACTGAACGCTGCACACGGGCCTTCCTGCGGGGGTTGGGTCACTTCTCGGGCAGGTTTGCTGGCTTGTGCTGCGCAAGGAGCGTAAGTCCTGTCCGGGGCCAACAAGGCGAGGTGCCCTCCACGCCCCCCAGCCGCTTGTCCGTCTGCTTCTGGGTGGTGTCTGTTCAGATCTCTTACCCAGTTTTCATCGCAGCACCTGTTTTTTATTACTGACCAAGCTGTTGTCTTCTCCTGCGTCCTGGGTAACAGCGCTTTGTCCAATGGTGCTCAGCAAATAGCACCTCCCAGTCTGTGGCTCGCCTACTTGTGTTTTTTTTTTTTTTAATTTAATTTTACTTATTTTTGGCTGCTTTGGGTCTTCGTTGCGGTGCACAGGCTTCTCATTGCAGTGGCTTCTCTTGTTGCGGAGCTTGGGTTCTAGACACGCGGGCTTCAGTAGTTGTGGTGCGTGGGCTTAGTTGCTCCGTGGCATGTGGGATCTTCCCAGATCAGGGATGGAACCCCTGTCCCCGGCATTGGCAGGCGGATTCTTAACCGCTGCACCACCAGGGAAGCCCCCCTACTCGTGCTCTTAACAACATTTTTGGAAATTTAAACTTTGATGATGCCTAACTGATCCTTTCTGGTAATTGGTCATCTCATTCTGTGTCTTGGTCAAGAAACCTCCTGTTTTGACTGTGCACGTGGGGAAGCCAAAGTCCTGGAGTCCAGATGAGTTTAAGGTGAGAGTGTGTGTGTGCGCACGTGCATGCGGGCATCTGAAATCTGGATTTACAGTTTCCTGGGGACCTCGAGGTGCTCCAGGCTCTGAGCCTCACCAACAGCCAGCTCAGCAGTAGGTGTGAAAAGTGGGAGAGTCTGCAAGGCCTGACAGAGAACGCCTCCGGAGGGCCATGAGCAGAAGGGAGATGCCGGGGCTGCACAGGGCAGGAAGACGCTGGAGCCTCCACCACCCAGAGCACGGAGGCCACCCTGAACTCCCCGGACATTTGGCTGAGAACCCAGAAAGCCCACACACTGGGAGGGGGCGACTCCAGCCCTTGAGTAATGCCTGCTTGCCACCCACCCTATCAAAGCTGAAAAACAGTCCCTGATGGGGTCATGATGAGTCGCCAGGATGAAGCAGGATCCAGACCTCACGTGTGGCACCCACATTGTCCAACATACAATAAAACATCACTAGACATGTGAAAAAAGGAACAGCACTGCAAGAAGGAAAAACAGCGTCAAAGGCACCACAGACACTGCATTTAAAATAGCTACTGCAAAAGGGAACGCTCCTACACTGTTGGTGGGAATGTAAATTGGTGCAGCCACTGTGGAGAACAGTATGGAGGCTCCTCAGAAAACTAAAAAGAGAACTACCATATGATCCAGCAATCCCACTCCTGGGCATATATCCAGACAAATCTATAATCCAAAAAGATACATGAACCCCTGTATTCATTAGTAGCATTATTTACAACAGTCAAGACATGGAAACCACGTAAATGTCCATCAACAGAGGAATGGAGAAAAAAGATGTGTGTACACACACACACACACACACACACACACACACACACACAGTGGAATACTACTCAGCCGTAAAAAACAATGAAATAATACCATTTGTGGCAACATGGATTGACCTAGAGATTATCATATTAAGTGAAGCAAGTCAGAAAGACAAAGACAAACACCATCTGATAGCACTTATATGTGGAGTCTATCTATGAAACAGAATCACAGACATACAGGACAGACTGGTGGTTGCCAAGGAGGAGGGGTTGTGGGAGGGATGGAGTGGGAGGTTGGGGTTAGCAGATGTTAGCTAACACGTCAGCAGATACAACAAGGTCCTACTGTATTGCACAGAGAACTATATTTAGTATCCTATGATAAACCAACATGAAAAAGAATATTTAAAAAATATATATGTATAACTGAATCACTTTGCTGTACAGCAGAAATTAATACAACATTGTAAATCAACTATACCTCAATTTAAAAAAAGCTGGGACTTCCCTGGTGGTCCAGTGGTTAAGAATCTGCCTTCCAACGCAGGGGATGTGGGTTTGATCCCTGGTCAGGGAACTAAGATCCCACACACCACGAGGCAACTAATCCCACATGCCTCAACTAGAGAGCCCACGCACCACAACTACACAGCCCATGCACTCTGGAGCCTGCACACCACAAGCAGAGAGAAGCCCAGGTGCCACAACTAGAGAGAAGCCCGTGCACTGCAACAAAGATTCCACGCGCCGCAACTAAGACCCAATGCAGCCAAAAATAAATAAGTAAAATAAATAAGTAAAATAAATAAATATATATATTTTTAAAAGCTATTGCAAGTACGTTAGAAGATTTTAAGGAAAAGATGGGCAAAATGAACAAGCAGATGGGAAATCTCAACAGAAAAATAAGGGAATCAAACGGAAGTGAAAAATACCATGTATCAAATGAAAAATTCAGTTGATGTATCAAATAATATATTGGACGCTGCAGAAGAAAAAGAAGGGTGAACTTACAATAAGGCAATAAAAACTATCCAGGTTGAAGAAAGAAAAAAGACTGACAAAAAACTTGAGAGGAACCTGAGGGACCTGTGGGACAGCATCAAACACTCCTAATGTGTGACTGGAGTATGAGAACGAGAGGAGACTAAACAGAGGCAAAAAGAACATTTGAGATAATGATGACAAAGTTTTTCCAAATTTAATAAAAGAGTGTTAATATACATACCCTAGAAGCGCAATGAACCCAAAGCAGGATAAACAGAAAAAAAAAACCACACCTAAATTAAGGCTGAATCAAAATCTGAACCCAGAGATGAAAAAATCTTTGAAACAGGCACAAGACAAGACATACTATATACAGGAGAACAGTGGTCAACAGTAGTCATCAGGGAAATGCAAATAAAGTCCACAGTGAGGCACCATTTCACGCCCGCTAGCACGCTCCAAGTGGAAAAGCCTGACAACTCCAAGTGTTGATGAGGATGTGGGATACTGAGAACCTTCACATGCTGCCCGCGGGAGTTCAAAGTGGTACGACTGCTTTGGAAACCAGCCTGGCAGTTTCTCATAAGCACACATGACCCAGCACTTTTATAAAAACACTCATACACGAGACTTGAAGAAAGGTGCTCAGGGCAATTTTATTCACAACACCCCAAATCTGGGCACAGCCAAATGTCCCTGAGCAGGAGAACGCACGAACAAAATGGGGTGCAGTCATACAAATGGACAGAGTAACAAACAGTGACTACCTGCAGGCCCAGAAAACCACAGGCACTGAGCTGGAGGAGCCTGGCAGGAAAGAACACAGTTGCCCCTCGGCCTCCAGGGGAATGCTTCCAGGAGCCCGAGAGGATACCGAAATCTGCAGCTGCTCCAGCCCCTAACATAAAACCACACAGCACAACCAGCACAGTCAGCCCCCTGTACCGCGGGTTTCGCATACCGAGGTATGGAGCAACAACCAAACCTTGATTCTTAAAAAGCGTTTTAAGCCAAAAGCCGCTACCCCCGTAGTCCCCAACGCACAGTCTACCATCTGTTTACCCAGACCCGTGCTGTTTAGGCTGCAGCTCCCAATGCCAAGGCCAGAACCCAGGACAGCCATCTGGGTCCCCAAAGCCACAAGGGGCACCCCCAGGCTGTAGGACAGGACTGGGCTGGGGGACGTGAGTGTGCGTGTGCCAGCCGGTGTGCGTGTGGGCACACATACATGCACACGCTAATGGGGCAGCAGGGCTGGGCCGCGGAAGCCCCGTCGGGGAAGCTGAAGAGTCGGCCACCGTGTAGCGCAGGTAGGGCTGGGCACGCAGGGCCCCGCACCCGGAGGAGGGGCCTGTCTCTCCCAAGCCTCCGCCCTCCCCATGAGCAGTTTGGGCCCCTGTTGCTGGCAGTCCACTGGCTCAGACCCAGAGCTCAGGGCAGTGAGGACCCGCTGCTGTTCCCATCCCAGCACCTCTGGCATAGCCAAGGTTCAGGCTCAGGACAGGCCTCTCCCGGCCTTGCAGGCCGCTGGGCGTGTCAGACACCAGCAACACCAGCCGACAGACAGACACGGACCACTGGACGGGGGCTGGGGGTCGCCCACCACTAAGCGCTGTGCAGGAGATGCCCCTGGACCCCCAGCTCCGCGTCGCCAGCCTCCTGAGCTCTGTGGGCCTGGGGCCCCCGGCACAACCGCCCCACAGCTGTCAGGGTCCAGCCCTCTGCAGAGCCTCTTCCGGGGGCGGGGGACAGAAACCACATGCGCTTACCTGCGTTCCCAGCCCTCACGTCCACCCCCGCCCCCGCATCCCCAGAAGTGAACAAGCGGGGCTCACCTAGCCGGAGCTCCCCGAAGTTGCCACAGCCTATCTTCTTCCCGACTCGGAAGTTGGGGCCCACCATCAGGACCCCCGAGCTGGTCCCCGAGCTCCGGACGCCGTGGCTGCTCCGGCCGGCGGCCTTGGACATTCTCCGGCCCTCCTCTGACTCCCCTTTCCCTCCTTTCTTGTCAAAATCCATAAGTTTGTGGTACCCTGGCCTCTCCACGGTGACTCTGCTGCCGTGCAAATCCCGGCTCCACGGAGACCCACGGTCGCGGCAGCTCTTCGGGGCTAGCACCCCATGGCGCCCGGCGGGCTCCTGCTAGTGAGACGCGGGCACTCGCGAGGGCCCGGCCGCAGCGCTCATCTCGGTGGCCTCGGGGTCACACATGGGGGGAGGACACATGCTGCTGACGGGTCCCGGGAGCTCAAATCTAGTGGCTCTCGGCTGCAGGAGAAACAGAGGCACGGGTTAGAAGGCCACGATGCGCCCGCCCGCCACACACCCGGGGCCCAGAGCACAGTCTGGCAGGGGACCCGGGACTGGGCGTTAAGTGGTGGCGGGACTGCGTTCTGGAAAAATCTCTGACATGCAGGTGCGACCTGTGACCTTCTGGGGACAGAGGGGAGGAAGGCTCGAGCCTCCAAGAATTCCACGTTCCGCCTGCCGGCCCACCCCAGGCTAGAGGACGGCTGTGCTGAGAGAGGAGACGCCTAGTTGAGCAACAGAGGCCCCAGCACTGCTCCTCGGAAGAGGACAGGTGCAGAGCAGAAAGTGCCCGAGGCTAGGAGACAGGCCCCTGCCACAGACCTGGGGAGCCTCGGAGCTGCCTCTCCCCCACCCCACCCCTGCCCAATATCCAGGTGACATCAACGTCCCTGGGCCTCGTTCCAGGAGCCCGTGACCCTGTGGACAGGTGGGTGACCGGCTGCTGCTGCTGCGGGAGAGTGAGAGGGCAGGAGGGGATGCAAGGGCCCCGAGTGCGGGCAGATGGGCCGTGAGCCTGACGGGGCTGGCTGGACACGCGCCCCCAAGGCGAGTCCGGCCTGGCCTCTCCAGCAGAAAGCTGGGGCTGTGGAGGAAACGGCGGGCACCCCGATAGCCCTCCAGGTTACAGGGAGGGGCTGGCCACCCGAGCTGGGGGGTGGGGATACACTCCCAAGGTCTGTCTGTGGTGCCAGCTTCTCCCTCCTCCCACCCCCATGTGGACCAGTCACCCTGCAGCTCAGACGGACGGGGCTCTCCCCTGCCAGCTGGCCTAGCCTCTCAAGCCACCCCCTCCTCTCAGCGAGGGTCACAGGCCCTCCTACAGGCCCTCGCCTCCTCCTGTCCCCTCTGGCCAATTCTCACGCCAAAGCCACAGGAATTGCTTTAGAAAGAAAACACTAACCTGCTCCTATAACGCCTCCCCATGCCCTCTGCCTGCCCAAGCTCCCCTCGGGCCCAGATTGGCCACTGCAAGGCTCACACCTGTGCTCCCCTCCCCACCAAGCACTCAAGGGCTGACACCTGGTGGAGGCCACGCCCCCTGAATGCCTGCAGGGGTGGGGGGAGGTGAGGCCAGGTGAGGGCCCTGACGCCAGGTAAGTGGTCCAGCTATAGCTCATCCACAACCCATGAAGGCACCCAGGGGAGCCCCCGACGGGCTGTGGCAGGACCAGCACTGACGCCCGGTGCCCTGGGGGGGCGATGAGGGGGTCGCCTCATCGTGGGTGCCCAATCCCCCAACTGGCCTCCCACATGGCCCCCAGCGTCCTCACCTACCACTGAGGGCCTGATGGACGGAAGGGCCAGCCAGCAACCGTGTGTCACCGACGGCACAGGTGCCAAGAGTCGCAGGCCGAGGACAGGCCCAAATGAGGGGACCTCTGGCCATGCACCTAGAGGCAGGCCCACAGCCAGCAGGACGGGGTGGGGGGATGCTCACACACGCGTGCACACACCAGTCCGTGCTCGGTACCCACGCAGGTCATCGCTGCCCGGGGGGCATGCAGGGCCGGAGCGGCCAGAGCCCGAGAGCCCAGGAGATGCCCAGACAGGCAGGGGCCCAGGCTTCAGGACAAACCTCACCATTTAAGGCCGGCAGCTTCCCAACCACATGGACAGTGCGTGCAGACAATGTGACCCCAACAAGAACCGTGCACCCAGCTCCACCGCTGCCTGGGGTTCCCACCAGCCGACACCCTGGCACCGCAGCCACGCCACCCAAGCAAGGGGCCGGCCCGGAGCCACGCACCCCCGCCCGAGCAGCGCTGTCCGCGCCTGTGGACGACACACTGGTCGCTGGCCAAGCGGTGCCCCTGCTCGGGCGGCCACCCGTCTGTCTCCACCTTCACCGGCTGCACTCGCAGGAGACGGACCTGAGCCAAGGGGACGGCACAGCGGCACTGCAGGCCCAAAGGCGGGCAGGGAGGGGCATAGCCAAGAATCCGGGCCCTTAACAGAGCAGGCCACACCCCACACCCTTGGCGTCTCAGGGGTTCCGACGCCACGGGCCAGGCCGCTCCCCACCTGTAAGTGGTTAGTTCCCTGTGGGGGGGGGGTGGGCGGACAGCTGTTCACCATCAGGAATTTGGGAGTCAACTGGGAACAGCTGTTACAAACTTACAAGGAAATAACTACATTAACAACAAAGGAAATAGTGGGACCTCCCCACTGGTCCAGTGGCTAAGACTCCACACTCCCTAATGCAGGGGATCCGGGTTCGATCCCTGGTCAGGGAACTAGATCCCACATGTCGCGCGGCAAGGCCAAAATAAATAAAGTGGACAGTTCAACGGTTCTTACTGAACCACAGCTTATGCTTGCAGAGTTGTGCTACAATCACCTCAAATTCCAGCACATTCCATCACCCCAACAAGAAGCCCCATCCCCAACAGCAGTCACCTCCTCCCCCTCTCCCCAGCCCCTGACAACCAGAAACCCACTCTCTGTGTCTGTGGATCTGCCTGTTCTGGACGTTTCCCATCAGTGAAATCACACACCGTGTGTCCTTCTGTGTCTGGCTTCTCTCACTGAGCATCGTGTTCTCAGGGTCCGTCCACGAGTGTCAGGGCTTCTGTCCTTCTCGTGGTGGAGTGATGCTGCTACGTGTGGAGGGCACGCTCATCCACAGGAGGACACCTGGGCTGTGCCCACCTTTGGGCTGCGGTGAACTGTGTGGCCGGGGTGTTTGTGTGCAGCCCCCAGGAGGCGAGTGCTGTCTGCCAGCTCGGACCCAGGCTGCAACTGCTGGGTCAGGTGGAAGCTCTATTTTAATTGCCGGAGGCGCTGCCCCTGTCCCGCGCCCGCCCACGCCCTCCGCATCCCCCGGCATTGCTGCCGCCCAGCTTTAGGACGGCTGCCCGGGGCGTGGGGGTCCTGCTTCACCTCCAGGCACACGTCGCTGCCAGAGCCTGTGCCAGCGCCGGACACGCTCTCATCTCATGGGTGCCTGTGGAAAAGGCACCCAGCAGTGGGGGAGGTGCACACAGGGACCAGGTGGAGCCAGGCTCAGAGCGGCCCAACGCCTGACCACACGGGAGACTGCACACGACTCACTTCTGGAGCCGCCGAGAGGCCAGACGGAGCAGAACCGGGCAGGAGGCAAACACTCCCTGAGATGGGAACCAGCCGGCGTGGGATTCCTGCAGAAAACTGAAGCCACCGCCCCTGGTGCCCGGCCCCCTGAGTCTGCTGTTTCAAGACCTGCACACATGCAGCGAGCCCGTGCCCTGTACGCCCTGGGTACCTTGTGCCCAGACCACACGCCTGGACACGCTACCCTCATTCATTCCTCTGAAGTCCTCCCAGATTCCATAGAGAGGGAACACCAAAATCTACAGGCCACCCCGCTGATGGATACTTAAGGGTGGTTTCCAGCTGGATTTTCTTTCCTGTCAGAAAGAAATTAAAAACACATGCCTGGGGACTTCCCTCGTGGCGCAGCGGTTAAGAATCCTCCTGCCAGGCAGGGGGCACCGGTTCGAGCCCTGGTCTGGGAAGATCCCACATGCCATGGAACACTACTGAGCCTGTGCGACACAACTACTGAGCCTGCGTGCCACAAGTACTGAAGCCCACGCACCTGGAGCCCTTGCTCCGCAACAAGAGAAGCCACCGCAGTGAGAAGCCTGCGCACCGCAGTGTAGAGTAGCCCCCACTCGCCACAACTAGAGAAAGCCCAATGCAGCCAAAAATAAATCAAAAAAACAAAACAAAAAAACATACCATCACACACCTGTGCACACACACGCAGGCACACCAGAGGTGGATGTAAAACCCACGGGAATTTCAAAGATTAAAAGCTGAGCCCTGCCATCTCCCAGCTCCCGGCTCCACTCCCCGAGGATGCCCCGCGCACTCCCGCCAGGCACTCCCGCCAGGCACTCCCGCCTGCAAGCGGCAGAAGCAGCCAGGGTGCAGGGCAGGCAGACGCCAGCAGCAAGCCACCATGGGGCCGTGAGCTCAGGGGGACGCACACACAAGCGGGAGGGGACGAGCGCGGAGGTTCTTAAGGAACCTCTGAGGGTGGTCTCCACGCAGACGAGGCCAGGAGGGCTGGGCGCGTCTTCGCCAGTGCGGGGCGGGCACCTCGCCGTCCCGCGTCCCGCCGCCGCGACCCATGCACCCCCGCGGGCAGGGATTCAGGTCTGGGTCCCGCTTTGTGCAAGCAGCTTTTATGGGGCAGGGGGCCCCGACGCTGCCCTGCCCCACAGCACACACAAGGAACCCCTCCCAGGGCCGCACTCCTCTGTACTCCAAGCCCACCTGCCTGGGAGCCCGTGCCCGGCCGCCGGCACCTGGCTCCCTAGCGGGCCTCCTTTCCAGGCCACGACCCCCGCTTTCAGGCCAGGCGGGACGTGCTCTCGGCCCCAGCGCGAGATCCACAGAGGCACGGCCTTCGCCTCCGCCTGGCCTCACGTCCCCAGGTGCAAACCCTTCCGAGCTCATGGAACCTCTCACAGCCACAAAGCCACGAGACACGCCCCCTCGGGCTTGTTCGGAAGCGCCCCTACCCGCAGGTGCTCACTCCCAGGCCCTCGCTCCCAGCCCCTGCAGGACGCAAGACTCAGGGTCCGGCGACACTCCCCTCGGCAGACCCTTCTCCTCTGCCACCTCCCAGGATGGCTTGTGTTAGGTGAGCGCTTACTCCACGCCCAGGGCTCGGGCAGCAGTGGGCTCCCGGCCACAACCCCCAGCAGCAGGCCTGTTCTCCC